TTGTTCACTCTTTTCCTTCCTTTTTCTGTTTCTTCAAACTGAGAGTCTTGCGTACTTTTTTCCAAAAAGAAAGTTTTGGTTTTTTCCTTTTACCGTCCTGCATGGATTTTGGATCTGTGTTGTCCACATTCTCCTGGATGGTTTCTACAGCACACTGCATCTTTTCCATAGATCCCGAATCCGTGGAACCACCTGACGCGGTTTCTTTTGAGAAAACCTCCGCAGAAGAAATCTCTTGGTGTAAAACTTCCACCTGGTCAGGTTGCCTTTCAGAATCTTTCTCTTGCAAATCTGTGAACTCCTGTGGTGTGTTTTGTTTGACATCTTCCTTCTCATCTCTCAGAGAGTTGGCAAGCTGTACATCCTCATTTGGTCTTTCCAAATGAATATCTCTCTCACAACTTACTTGCTGATATTTTTCTGCTTGTTGTTTCACTGCAGTAACATCAGTTTCATATCTACTATTCAGCTCCTGGTATAATACTTTCACCTCCTCTAACTCAGTCTGCGCATTCCTTTCCTTCTCTTGCAGGATTTTCATTTCTTCTGCCATGGTTTCTTGGAGGGTGGCATTCATGGCTTTCATGTTGTTGAGAAGCACCACGTCTTCCAAATGAGCTGTTTTCTCCTGAGTTATTTGCATTTTAAGATTTGCACTTGCTGTTGAAGTGAAGAATGGCTTGTTTCATACTGGCTTATATTGCATTTTAAATCTTTTGCCATCTGGTTGAATTTCTGCTGCAGAGACCGGAACTCTTCTGACATTCTTTTATAGAGATTATTTTGCTCTGCTCTGAGATTGTTGATTTCCTCCAGTTCGTTCTCTCTCTCCAAACTGGCTGCTCTCTCATGCTCAACCTCCACCTCATATCTTTTCACTTGGGCTTCAAGTCCAGAGACATCTCTTTCATATTTCCCATTGAGTTCTTCATATGCACATTTGGCCTGGTCCAATTCTGCCTGCAGACTGTTTTCCCTGCTTTGCAGAAATGCGATCTCTTTTGACATTAATTCATAGAGATTATCTTGCTCTGCTCTGAGATTGTTGATTTCCTCCAGTTCGTTCTCTCTCTCCAAACTGGCTGCTCTCTCATGCTCAACCTCCACCTCATATCTTTTCACTTGGGCTTCAAGTCCAGAGACATCTCTTTCATATTTCCCATTGAGTTCTTCATATGCATATTTGGCCTGGTCCAATTCTGCCTGCAGACTGTTTTTGCTGCTTTGCAGAAATGCAATCTCTTTTGACATTGATTCATACAGATTATCTTGCTCAGCTCTGAGATTGTTGATTTGCTCAAGGTCCTTCTTCTCTCTTTCTGAACTGGCTGCTCTTTCACTATCCAGCTCTGTCTCATATGTTTTCACTTGGGCTTCAAGTCCAGAGACATCTCTTTCATATTTCCCATTGAGCTCTTCATATGCATATTTGGCCTGGTCCAATTCTGCCTGCAGACTGTTTTTGCTGCTTTGCAGAAATGCGATCTCTTTTGACATTAATTCATAGAGATTATCTTGCTCAGCTCTGAGATTGTTGATTTTCCTCCAGGTCCTTCTTCTCTCTTTCTGAACTGGCTGCTCTCTCACTATCTAGCTCTGTCTCATATGTTTCAATTGGGCTTCAAGTCCAGAAACATCTCTGTCATATTTCCCATTGAGTTCTTCATATGCACATTTGGCCTGGTCCAATTCTGCCTGCAGACCTTTTTTGCTGCTTTGCAGAAATGCGATCTCTTGGGAAAAATTTTGACACATGTTGTCCTTTTCAGCTCTTAGATTTTCAAGCAGCTGTTCTACTTCACTGACTCTTGCTTCACAAAACTTTTCCACCTGGGCCTCCTGCTGCCTCACCATGGCAACTTTGTCTTCATACTTAGAGCAAAGCTCCTTGTAGGAAGTCTGGAGTTTATCAAGGTCTTCTTGGAGGGCTTTCCCTTTCTCTTTCTCAGCCTGTATTTCTGATGTAAATGCTTCCTGGCTCAGGAGATGGGCCGTCTTCAATTCTACATAGTCTTGTTGCAGCAACTTCTTCTTCTTACATTTCACGTCGTTGTGGACCTTGGAAGCAAGGATCGCAGTGCTGATGACTCCTGGATCACTAAGCTTCTCAATTCTCTCGAGTTCCCTCTTTAACTCTTTCTCCTTGTTGATAAACACTTCTTTGAGAGCTTTCTGTCTTTTTAACTGGACTTTCGTTTCTTCCAGCTCTGCTTCCAGGTGGCCCAGTCTTTGGTTGTCTTCAAACCTTTGGGCTCTCTCCATTTCTATAATAGAGCCCAGCCTTTGGATTTCCCCGTGTAAGACATTCGGGTGCACAGGTGGGAACCTTCCTTGGAAATTTGGCTGGATTCCCCTTCTCATCTGGGGTCCCGTCTTTCCATTGTAGTATCTTGGGTTTTGATGAGACATTTTCCCTTAAATGCGTTCGCTAAAATCAATCGATTTCTAAATTACCTGTACGGTCAATTTGAAAGAGCTTTGTGTATGTCTGAACAAGTCAGTGATATACCAAGCAATGAAAAATATGCTGAATTCTGTTCTACATATATGTCTAGTTGATGACATCAGACAGACTGCCTCACTGTGACATCAAAGAATCTTCTGCTGGTGGAGTTACATCATCTCACCAGCAAATATCATGCTTCAGTTTCTTGTTTATTTTCAAAATAGTCTAATTCACTTGTTTTTCTATATATGATCATTTCTTTTGAACTTTTTTTCCAATATCTATTCATTAGAAAGTTTATTTTGCTTATTTAGTCAAACATTTATTTTCTTGTTCTTGTGTCAAACCTTGGAAAAAGAGAGTGGAAAGAAAATGTGTAATAAAAATGATGGTCTGGAAAGTTTGTATCTTTTATCAAACATTTATTGTTTTTCTTGTACTTTTGTTCTGTATATACAGTTAGGGCCAGAAATATTTGGACAGTGACACAGGTTTTGTTATTTTAGCTGTTGACAAAAATATGTTCAGAAATACAATTTATATATAATATGGGCTGAAAGTGCACACTCCCAGCTGCAATATGAGAGTTTCCACATCCAAATCGGAGAAAGGGTTTAGGAATCATAGCTCTGTAATGCAGAGCCTCCTCTTTTTCAAGGGACCAAAAGTAATTGGACAATGGACTCCAAAGGCTGCAAGTAACTCAAAAGGCCTTTCCCTCGTTAACTTGTAATCAAGTAAGTAGTTAAAAGGTCTGAGGTTGTTTCCAGGTGTGGTTTTGCATTTGGAAGCTGTTGCTGTGACCAGACAACATGCGGTCAAAGGAGCTCTCAATTGAGGTGAAGCAGAACATCCTGAGGCTGAAAAAAAAGAAAAAATCCATCAGAGAGATAGCAGACATGCTTGGAGTAGCAAAATCAACAGTCTGGTACATTCTGAGGAAAAAGGAATTGACTGGTGAGCTTGGGAACTCAAAAAGGCCTGGGCGTACACGGAAGACAACGGTGGTGGATGATCGCCGCATACTTCCTTTGGTGAAGAAGGACCCGTTCACAACATCAACTGAGGTCCAGAACACTCTCAGAGAAGTAGGTGTATCTGTCTCTAAGTCAACAGTAAAGAGAAGACTCCATGAAAGCAAATACAAAGGGTTCACATGTAGATGCAAACCATTCATCAATTCCAAAAGTAGACAGACCAGAGTTAAATTTTCCCAAAAACACCTCAAGAAGCCAGCCCAGTTCTGGAAAAGTATTCTATGGACAGATGAGACAAAGATCAACCTGTACCAGAATGATGGGAAGAAAAAAGTTTGGAGAAGAAAGGGAACGGCACATGATCCAAGGCACACCACATCCTCTGTAAAACATGGTGGAGGCAACGTGATGGCATGGGCATGCATGGCTTTCAATGGCACTGGGTCACTTGTGTTTATTGATGACATAACAGCAGACAAGAGTAGCCGGATGAATTCTGAAGTGTACCGGAGTGTACTGAAGTATACTGTCAGCCCAGATTCAGCCAAATGCTGCAAAGTTGATTGGACGGCGCTTCACAGTACAGATGGATAATGACCCTAAGCATACAGCCAAAGCTACCCAGGAGTTCATGAGAGCAAAAAGGTGGAATATTCTGCAATGGCCAAGTCAATCACCAGATCTTAACCCAATTGAGCATGCATTTCACTTGCTCAAATCCAGACTTCAGACGGAAAGACCCACTAACAAGCAAGACCTGAAGGCTGCGGCTGTAAAGGCCTGGCAAGCATTAAGAAGGAGGAAACCCAGCGTTTGGTGATGTCCATGGGTTCCAGACTTAAGGCAGTGATTGCCTCCAAAGGATTCACAACAAAAATTGAGAAAAAACTTTTTTGTTTGGGTTATGTTTATATGTCCAATTACTTTTGAGCTCCTAAAATGTGGAGTGTTTGTAAACCAATGTGTACAATTCCTACATTTTCTATCAGATATTTTTGTTCAACCCTTTAAATTAAACGTTACAATCTGCACTTGAATTCTGTTGTAGCGGTTTCATTTCAAATCCAATGCGGTGGCATGCAGAGCCCAACTCACAAATATTGTGTTACTGTCCAAATATTTCTGGCCCTAACTGTAATTGTATATGGACAACAGATGGATAATCTTTTCTTTTATTTAAAGCATTAAATAATGATTGGGGCCAAGGGAATAAGTTCAGATTTTGGTTTGGAGCAGATTTATGGAGTTGACTCTTGTCATGAATTGATAAATAAACAACCTGGTTGCTGAATATTAGAAATATTTCCAATACATAGTTTGTGTCAGATGTTACTCAGTTTTCTTTTTCCATCTGACTGTTTGACCTGCAGCTTAAATTGACATATTTACTCAAATACATCTCATAAAATCATCTTCTGAAAGATTGTTTTGGTTTCATTGATACATTTACTTTCATTTATACATATATAAACATTTGCATTCTGTACAGTTCAGAATTATTATTTCGCATGCCAACATCTATAGTTCCTATAGAATAGCCAAACATTAGAAGAAACTAAGTGAATTGCATGCAACAGTTGCCTTTATATGGAAATATAAGAGTCAAAAATCATCATGTTGGCCGTTTTGCTTTCTTTTCTTGTACACTGCACAAACAGGACGGTTGGTTACAGTGGTTACAGAAAAATGTGCAAGCGCAAGGAAATAACCATTATCAGACATCTTGATAAGGGAGCCTACATGCTGATGCTATAGCTGTAGAATGCATGACCTTTACATCTGAGCAAGATGGAGGCAGAATCACTGAGCTGAAGTCCCAGGGCTGCTAAAAACACCAACATGTTTCATTTGAGGGTGTTGCTTTCGGCCTTCAGACATTCGCTTTGTGGATCAGAAGGTTACTGATGCATCTTGGCATCTTAATGCTCATGACGCCATTGTATTTTATTTTTATTGTCGCGCAAACTTTGCTGCCCTGCTCCTTTATCTTCTACATTGTATCTGATGTTACTCTGTTGCATTGTTTTCCACCTGACTGTTTGACCTGCAGCTTAAATTTACATCAAATGCATCTTCTGAAATCATCTTATCAAAGGGTTTTTTAAAATATTGATACATTTACTTACATATATACATATTTAAACATTTGCATTCTGTACAGTTAAGAGCAGATCTTTATTGAGACAAACTTAACTGTACAAATAAAGGTGAAGCTAAAAAGGTGTCTCATTCAAATCATACAAGAATCTCAGTTCCATTAAATTAACAATAAACAGACATCACTAAAACCTGTTTTAGTGGATTTAAAAAAAAATAAATGACTACTTTGTTCATTCAAAATAACAAATGCATGAGGATCCGCAACATTGTGATTCTTCTTGCAGTTATTGTAGCTGTGAGTCAGAAGCTGCAGTCACTGTCTCATTGAGTTCATTGTTCATCGTGCTGGTGTCTTCCTGAATTGTGCTGCATATCCACTGCTTGACATAGTTTGAATTGAAGTGTTTTTCCTCAGGAAATGAGTTAGAGTTTGAGTCTGAGGCTCCAGGACTGCCGCACTCTCCGAAGCCGCTGTCGATGGTGTCCAAGTCCACGTGAGGGTAGCCGTCCTCCGACTCTTCATTTGACGCGAAAGAGTTGAGCGACACCCGCTCTGCTTCGTTGAACTCACCATCCGGCAGAAAGTTTTGGTTCTCCAGTATCAAATCATTGGCGATCTGGTTTTCTCGTAGTGATATCCCACTGTGCCGCTCCGTCCGGGAAGCAACACGCTTCCTGTTGTCGTCGTCAAACGAGCCAAAGCTTCCTGCGTCCTGGAAGCTTTTCAGCGAGCTCTGTGATGTCTCGTCCCCCTCAAACTCCTCTCCGGACAGGGTGACGGTGTGGATGGAGATGTGTCCCGTGGAGTGGATGGTGCCCTGCGAGGTGCTGCTGTCCTGAAACGTCATCAGCAGGTTGTTGGGAAGCTGTTGGGCTTGCAGGAAGTCATCAGCAGCTTTGACCTCGGTGACCTCGTTGTAGCTCGGCTTCTCGTTGCTCCAGCTGAGGATTTCGCTCTGTTTCTCGCTCAGCATGACACAGGTGGTGATCTTTAGGTAATCGTACTCGTTGAACACCGGCTTCACCCACTCCTACGAGAAGAAAAACAAAACATCACATTGGATTTCCGCAGACAGTTACTGTGTCAGATAAGCTGCTATTAGCATGTTCAGCTATGAAAGAAACAGCGTTTTAAATTATAAGACAAAATTATTATGATTTACAAGTTTGTGTGAAATCAGAGCATCTTTTACCAAGTATCCCTTTAATAGCAAAGAAGAACAAAATGTAGCCCCTGACTGGACGCCTTGTGCACAACGTTCAGCAGCAATAACTCCATCTTGAGCTTCATCATTGTGGAGAAGTTTTCATCCACCTTAATTTGCATCTTTGATAACTTAGTGAGTATGAGGTGACCGGATCCTATGGCTGAAAAACAAAATATTTTCTCTCTGTTGAATAATCTTTCTACATGACGATGGATTTTAAATATTTTGGAAATGGGATTCCAACCTAACAGGAACAGTTTCTTTTTCTAAGGCCACTGCTGATGTCTTCTCACCTGGATTAGAGCAACAAAATGACAAATCATCATCTTATATGTGCGCTTTTACTGACCCCCTGCAGTTCAGTGGAAGCAGCCAGGAATTATTGATATACAGATCATACTGAGATGTGCATCACATATTATCACAACATTTTCTCGACATGTCCACATAATCTCCAGAGTTATAGCTGTCATTTGTTCTGTAAAAATACACATTTTAATTTCCGCTTGTGATTCCTCTCAAATCATTGTGGTAAGAAAACTTTCTGCCTTGCAGAGGAACATCAGGCCCCATCTGATTTGTGCAGGTTGTGGTAATCAGTGACTTCCTTGATGAAATGATGCTCAGACAAGGCACTGCAGCGGCTCCTCAGGTGACACGTCACCTCCATACTTTATCCACTTATCTTGTTTTTGAGCCTCGTGCTGCCAGCAGGGCCAGAATAAATCAGTTACTTTCACGATATCGGATCAGATTGTCCTCATTTTTATGAAGTAGTAGGATGTTTTTCCACATGTGCAGAGGAGCTCCTCTAATCTGACAGAGAAAGCTTTCATGTCACATCCGGAGTCTTTATATCTCCAAATTTGGACTATATGGTATTTGTTACTTACTGCATACAATAAGTCTTCCTAATCTGAAGAATATTTATTTCCTTGAAGAAGTTGATGTTAATTTTAAATGTGCAGCGATCAATCTGGAGTGTAGAATGTGACAACTATTTCAAAGAAATTTGATGTTCACTTTGATTTAATTCGCTTGCGTTCATCTATTTAACAGGCTTTCAGAGAAGTGTAAAAAATGTGCAGCCACCTAAAGCCTGAGATGTCCAGATAAGCTCGAATCATAGCGTTTTGACGCCCAGGCCACCACATCCTGCCTACAAAGCTCCTGAACGGAACCTGTAAATCGAGAACGACGCAAGCAGTCTGCACCACAAGGACGTGAGATACGGCAGGAGAGCAGAAGCCGCTTCGCAAAGAGCTGCTCTGCAGCCGGAGTGAAGTCACCAAAGAATGCAGCACCTAAAATAAACCAGCAGTCTCACTTCAACACCCCGACATGCTGGCCTCTTCTGCTTTAAAAAAACATATTATTTTAATGAAAGAAGTTTAAAGTTAATGGATTTTCTAAGTTTCTAAACTAATGTAATCACTTTCCAAATCTTTGGAATGTTTTCTTAGTATTTAGTCTCAAACACTTTGGCAGATTTCTGTTAAGATTCTCACATCTGCATCACTGCCATCAAAGTGACGCTTCAATACTCATAAATACTCCAGTAGCGCCCTCTGCTGTAGGAGGTATGTAATTGCATGCTAATCTCAAAAATCCTGCAAAAGAAAAACCTTTTTTTCTGACTGAATTAAACTGAACTTTATGCGTCGCAACCATAATAACAACGGGTCAAATTCTTAAAAAGTCTAAAAAAAAAAAACGGCTAAGGGCAACTTTATTCATTCAATCATAAAATCCTTCATAAGTTTCTATTTGATAGATGATTTTCTGATGAGTTTGGGACACATTGGGATTTTTCTTTCATAGCAATCTAACTAATTATGACCAAAGATGGCAAAATCATAAATTTTAGAGTGAAATTTTCATCTTTGTGGAAATGCAAAGCCTTTCAGTGAAGTAATTATTCTGTCTCTTACAGGATGGCTGGATTTAATCCTTGTTTATGCAACATAATAAAATGTCTACATCTCCCTACTTAATCTAGTCTTTGTGGGAACATTTTGAGCATTCTGTCCCACAGGGATAGAAAACAAAAGAGCTAGTCTAAGGATTTCCTGGATATAATTTCGTCTAGTTAAAAAGATCTAGTTCCTCTCCACTGTTGCCATTTGTTAGATCATGTGTAACGTGGAGAGATAGCGCCATCTGCTGGCTTCTTCACAGCATTTTAACAAGTTAAGTGACAGTTTGAGATGAACTTGGATTAAGGGCTCCAGACTCGATTCATTCTTGTTGCTGTATATCTATCTTTTCTGAAAATATCTTCACGTTTCATTTGTTTCAAGACAAAGATGATTAAAGGAAATAATTTTGGTGTTTGTGTTTAGAGCAGCTTTTCTGCAGCTTCTTCAATTCAAAGAACTGCAACATAAAATTTGTTTAGAGTTGCAAAAAACGATTTTCTAAATATGTGTGAAATGTTTTGTTATGAAAGCCATCAACAATTAACCTAAAATTTATTCCTATTGTCAGATTTTAGACAAGAATTCTGTATTACAAAAGAAAAAAAAACATAGAATGAGGTGAAATTGGTTTGTTTTTATAAATATAAAAAATTAAGAAAGTGTGTTTTTATTAAAAGCAGATTTTGTACAATAACTTACAGATTAACTCCTAAAATGACAACTTCTTGTTGCATCCTTTATAAAAACATTTCCTTTTTGGTTTGGAGCAACAAGCAGGCTGCAGAACAAATCTAAACTTGTTGCTAAATAACTCTTCCAGGTGCAGCTGCAGTATTTTCACGTGACAGTTTCATTAAAATTCATATGTGATGCTGGATGTGGTGATGTTCTGCTGCATGCAGAACATACGGTGATCATACGGTTGGTGAATGACTATCATGGATGGAAATGGAGACTGCTGCCTGCACAAACATGGTCTGTCTGCTAAAAATAGCAGATATGAAAAGAGTAAATTTACATTAGGGGAAAAGACAAATGTTGCAAAAGATAGAGAGCAGAGATAAACCGTGCAACATTTATGAAAGAATGAAAGAACGTGAACCACAACGTTCTCATTATGTCTCTATCAGGTTGAAAACAGGACGTTTTTTCTGTGACACCATGGCACATCTAAGAGCCGAAACACAACCCCTGGGGTAATTTCCACTGGGGTGGAACAGGTCTGCCTGACTGAGACAAATATCCTCCCACAGCATGTGAGGCTCGTGAAGCCCCTGCTGACTGAGTCACAAACATCACAGAGTCCCTTCAGTCTGCCGTCAAAGGGAAAGTCCCAGCCGGCAGAGCCAGCAGGATCCAGATGTGACGTGAGTCCCCTCTTCTGCAGCACCTGCTGGCCCCACTTAGAAACTACAAACAATGTGAAAGGCTGCTTTTGCTTTCTCTTACCTTAAAGTTCCCACCGTGGCTGTGGTAGAGGGGCTTGAAATAATCGTTGGGTCTGGGGACGAACGTCATCATTTTGAGTTTTTTCTGCCAGCACCTGAAAGAAAAGCAGAATAAGAGTTAGGAGAGGCAGAAGACAGAAACGGTGACCTTTAGTCCCTGTGCGGTGGCATCAGCCAGCCTGGCATCTTCTTCAACATGTGGTGACGGGACATTTTTAGATTGATTGTGTGTCAATTCTTACCAAGTCATTTTGATCTAGTTCTAGTGCAAATAACTAAATACTCTTCAAATAGGACTAAACTAACTTACAAGAAACTTCTTAGCATGAAATAGAAGTCAATAATTCTTTAATAATGAGGAAAACTAGTTCCATTGGTAGATTATCTCATTGTTGGAAGTGAACAGTCTGCCAGTGGATTTAGTCATTTTTCATCAATTTTAAGGTTCAAAACAAGCTCCTACTTCTTGATAAAAAGTTTCTTGTAAGTTAGATTTGTTGTATTTTAAGTGACATAAGATATTTCCTCTAGAAACCAGACCAAGAATACTTGGTAAGATTTGGGACATTGCAGAGAGAGCGACCCGTTTCCTGTTCATGTCGCTGAGAATAACCCAAGACAACTAACCCAAACATTTTAGAAATTAAACATCTTTCTTTATTAAATACATCAACAGATCTTGACTATTTGACATAAAAAAAACATTAAAAATGACATTAGTTCATTATTGATGATGTTTATTAAAAAAATAAAATTTTTCAGGCCTGCAAGAACTTTTGCATTTTAACATTTTGTCTCTGGCAAAACGTTTGGACACCTCTGTTTTGTGGTGCTAAATCAGCAGTTTGTTAGCTGCAAACACAACAAACTGCTGCTCATTTGTCTGTTTTTGCACATAAAAGTGCAGTTTTTTACAATTTGTTTTTACAGTTACATTTTTTATTTATTTTTTGCAAAGAGTACCTGCTATTTTTCGTAGCTTAGTAGATTTTTTATGTTGCATGCTCAGGTTTTACTGCTACTAGCTCAGCTCATCTGTTTGTTCTTCTGTTAGTTTCTTTCTGCTGATACAGCTAATTTTCCCAGTGGAGGTAGAACAAAGTATGTTTCTATTCTGGATCTTTGCTGCTTTACGGTAGATGGGCTGAGCAGAGGCGAAGCTTTGACCTGAAATCAAAGGTTTTAAGATCATAACCAGTAATCTTAGTAAAACAATGCGGCTTTCATGTGAATGATTACACAGCAATTTATTGAATTATTGAGTCAAAGCTTGATCTTAACTTTTGATAAAAAAACATCCCACGCTGCGACTCTCGGAACAGGATTATTTTCATCATGAGTAGACAGTGATTGGCAACAAAACTTTTCAACTGGAGGTTGTTTAAGATATCAGACCCTCCTTTAATTCACGGAAGGTAAATTAATCTTCAATTTAAAAAACAATTAAAACAGATTCAGATTTGGTTCATCTCTGGCATTTTTTAAAAGAAAAAGAGATTTAAAAAAAATCTCAATGCAGGTTGTTCCTTAAATTACTCTTATAATGTCCTCAAAATAAAAGCCTAAATCCTTTCTAGACACACTTTCTGGTTTGAACTCTGATTCATGTTGGTTTTAACTCAGAACATGTGAAAAATGGCTCTTTTTAACACAGAGACATGAGTCAAATCAAACCAAGAATTAAGGGAAAAACAGACTTTAACCATCTCATTTGAATAAAACCATAGACAAAAGGTGAGAAAACCTTCATGGTACCAGAACATGAACTTTACAGATTTTAAAACTGTAAATAACAGTTTTAAAATTTTTACACAATAATTATTGAATGGAAACAAGTTTATATATTTTGCTGAAAAGTTATTTTTAAGTTAGTTAAGTTTCAGGTGTTCTAAGATGTTAGCTTTTATCATATTGTTTATCATTATTGGGATACATTTCTGATTTATCATATCCAAAAAGTAAGTTCTTATTCTCACTTTTATTGTTAATACCACAAGGTGTCATGATAAAACTTCGCTCACCAGAACTTGGACTAGCAACCAAAAGCACTTGGTGACATTTTGAGTTTTTGCAGTGAGTTAGGCTTTGTGTATCAACCGCCAGTGAGAATACCAGAACTAAAACTTCTGTTCACACATTAGACGTGTTACATCATCCGTCAGCAGAGAGAGCAGAGCTGGTTAATCTTGTGTTTTCTTGTTGAAACCGTGGAGAGCTACAGGGAGCTGCTCTCAGCTCTCTGACGCTCTGCTGCAGGACTTCCTATGCCTGTGAGCCACTCAGTGCACAACGCTGCTGCACATACTGCTGCCGTGGTTTCTACATATGTAGGAGGTGATGCCAGGAATCAACTGATGCGGTGACTTGTATTGCTAATCATTTACTGGAAGGCAGCATGATGGTGACCTTCAACCCTTCACTCCTCTTTATCAGCTTACGTTTACTGACTGGTTGATTGGGATGCGATTGAACAACGAGTAAGAAGAAGAGTTCAGTAAAGTTCTTCAGCCTCGAAGGCTTTTTGTTTTGGTAATGACTAAAATCAGGTCTTAGTTGGTGGGAAAATCCAGTTTAAAACAGGAACTGAGACGTTTGAAAATACTCACGGTTTTTGTAGGTATCCCAGCAGCAGGAGGGCGAGGATGAGGATGATGGGCGTCGAGATGTAAAGCCAGTAAAAATTCACTCCTGGAAAAGCGACAAAGATCAGATGAATATGATTTGAACTGTAAATGATTATGAACATCCAGGTTTAGTCGGTATTATATGATCCCACCTTTTTCATCTGGAGGGTCAGCCGGTGTGCTCCACTCTGCACCGGTGCTCCATTCACTCCACGGACCCACAATGAACTCATCCTCACAGATTTTTGCCTGAACGTCCACAACGTAGGACGCGCTGTTCTGCAGCTTTTTCTGATCCAGCTCAAAGTACCTCCGGTTTGATGAATGCATAGAAATTAAATCCTGTCAGGAAGAAACGAGAAAATGCAACTCATCAGCAAAAAGTGGCTAAACGTTACAGTCTCTTTCATGCTTTTGTGACAACTTAGCATCACCTCAGATAGGGTTTTTGTATTTCTTATGCGGACTCTGTTCATCACGCAGGAAATGTATTGACCTTTGTTGCTCCAGGTAATGTTGTAGATTCCAGCTGCCTTTTCCACTCTGACAGTATCAGGAGCTTCAAGTTTTACTGTCAAAAAAAATCAAGAGGAGTTACAGATGGCATGAGCTTTATTCCAGCAAAGGACACAGGTGGTTGGAGTGAACTTTGCACTTTTCATTAAAACCCCTAAATACTCTGTACCTGGCAGAGTGCTGACCTTAAAGCAGCTCTCAGGTGCATTTTTTTTGTGCGTGGTTTTTACGTCAGTCTGTCAGATATGAAACTGAAATGAGATTATTTGTTGAACCTACCCACAGAAGCGAGCTCCCATTGCATTGACTCACTGAGAACCACCAGGCCTCGGCTGCCAGGCTGCCTGGCGGTGGCGTCGCACAGCGTATCGGTGGAAGCGACGTAGGTGAGGTCCTCATTGATGATGCACCAGGACTGAGGCGGTTTGGTCTCACAGCTCTTATTAAGGTTTGTGTCCTGAGTGCTGGAACAGAATCATTTGGTGTTATGATGAATGAAAAGACTTTGCTGCTGACAGAGACAAATATTATTTATGGATTTTCGTAAGAACAACGAAAAACACAGATAATGTTCTCCAAATAGCACAAGAAATTATTGTAAAAACACATTTTTCAGATGTTTAAGTTTTCAAGCCTCTTTGTGACAAAAACATTTTATTTGCAATATCTCCTTCACTTAAATGTTTCTTTAACTTTTAATCCACTTTTGGCAGGTTTTAAAGCACGCTATTTTATTTTGAGATGCATTATGGGTAGTGTAGTTATTGCATTTTAGGGCCATGAATTTCGCCATGAACATCATTTTTACAGTTTTGGTGTAATAAACTAAGCAATAAAGAGTCATGATGCCAAACAATACAGAGTTTAGATGAAAATGAAATAAAAATAGTTTCAGTTGCAACAAACTTGGCTCCTCTAACTTTGCAAACTTTTCAGATTCCACATATGAAAACATTTCAAAATAAAATGTATTACAACAATCACCACTATGACATCATTTTTATCCTTTTCATTTACGCCTCTTTCTGTTTGAATTGTTGGGAACTACATGAAACGTGGAATAAGCAGCTGGTGTCTGTTGATGTGCATGACACAAAGAGGAACTGAGGGAATTTATAAATACAACTTTTACACTTTTAGAAAGAGTTAACGCCACTGCAAACTGTTTTACTCATTACTTCAAATCAAAAGTTAAATAACATAATGCAAAGATGTAATTAAATTTTATGTTCAAAATATAATTCTTGAGGAAAAGATTAAAATGCTCCTGCTTATACAGTAGCGAGATAAAGACATCTATTAATTTAATAACAATGACAGGACAACTTTTACCTGCAAGTCACAGTGAGAAGAACAGGAAGTGTTGGCACAGAGCCAGAGCAGGAGCAGTTTAATATCCGATTATAGTCAGTGGTGCAGGTGACATTGCAGAGAGATGCAGATGCTGCAGAAGAGAAAAAAGAGGTCAGCTGCAAAGGCTGCACTACCTACACTTTCTAATCCTGACTGTCAACGTCAGTAACTGTTGACTCAAAAAGATGCTTCACTTGATTTAAAGAAGCAAAAACCAGATTAGATTTGAGATTAATGATCTGCAGCCATTAAAACAAGATTACAATGAATTTCAAATAAAGTGAAATATGTTAAAAGAGTTTTTCAGCAATGTCAAATAACAGAGCAGAGGAGAAGACTAATTAGATCCAATAAGTCATCTTACCTCCACCAAAGAGCAAAGTGAGACCCCACAGCAGCAGCAGGGCTGGAGGTGGAGGAGCCATGGAGATGACTCACTGGTGTCAGACGCTGGGCAGGCAGGGGAAAACACAGCAGACCAGACTGCAGGCACAAATAGAGCTTTCTAAGTCAGGACTGAGGTTGAAGAAGAGACGTTTAGAAGAAAAACGCTTCGGCTTTCTGTCATCCAAAGGTTCATCGTTACAGCAACAGCTAAGAAAGATTTAAACAGTCTGGGAAGAAATACTGACACATTATTAGCAACAGTCAAATGGTATGACCACAAATTAATGGATCTACATCACTATAAAGGTAAAGGAAATTGTATTTATTTAGCACATTTTCAGCAGCAAGGCAATACAAAGTGCTTGTTTTACAACACTGTTAAATCGTATTTAAAAAAAAAAAAAAAAATCTAAACTCATCATGTCTTCAGACCTGAATATTTTAAGTATAAACAGAAAAGGTTGAAATTTTTTACCTTTTTTAATGTGAAATTCTAAACTTGAAGAGAGAAGCGGTGCCGGAGACACGGATGTGTTAACGTCTGAAGACTGAGTGGAAGAATAATCAGGCAGCAAGCTAAAGGCGTCACTGTCAGCATGGTGATTCAGGATGTGGTTGCACAACGGTGTAATGTGGTGCCTTCCCACCACTTCCACTTTTAAGCTATGAATATGCATCAGCTAACCCCCCTAAAAAAGTCAACAGGAAACAGAAATGTTTTGTGCAAAACAATTCAGACGTCAAATTTGGTTCACCTACTTCACCCAAAGAGGAAAACGAATTTGGACCCTTTCAGCTGAATATGGAAAGTTGACAGAGTCCCTTAAGGTTTGAATATGTATCAGCATGTGCTGCGACCGCAGATGTTCTGCATCAGCGCTCAAATTTGCATGTAGCTGCTTGGTTTTACAGCAATAAGCTTCAATATCACGTTCAGTCGGAGTCAGTCCAGCTCCAACAGGACGTCTTCAAAGTTTGGCCAAAATCTGACCTTTCTAAAAGCCACGTCAACTTCCTGTTTGGTGCTGAAGAATTAACGAAGATTTCCTGTAGCATCTTGGAAATGTTGCCTGAAATTTTCATCTATTATTAGAGAAGATGAACAGTGTCATGGAGGGCCATTCACCACAGGAACCTGTGCCTTTAATCTCAGTGCATCGGGCTAAAGTCATGCTATCAAATTTGTAGAACACAACGTGTTGAACAATAATCTACAAAATAAGCACAAACTTTGCTGTGAAGTGTGAAAAGCACCAGGGAAATAAAGCTGTTTAAATATGCCATAGGGTGCATCTGATTCACATTTTCTCATTTATGTCAGCAAGAATCAAATTATCTGATGAATTAAAACAAGATACAGGAAAAACAAACTGGTATTAATTTGATTTGCGTGTGAAAGGCTGATTGATGTGCAAGGAAGCAGAAAAATAAATCCAGGAATTTTCTCACTTTATCTGACAATATTCTTCAAAAACACCCGATGTTGACATTTTTCGCTCTTAGTAATTTCTGCGTACAGAATAAACGAGAGGATATTGGTAACCCACTTTATTTGCATTTCAAACATTACTTATCTTTGACGTAGTTTAGCATTCTGACACATGCCGAGATATTCATCAAAACTAAGAAGAATTTCCACCAAACAGTGTTAATTTTCTACGCCGCCTCACCAGAGACATCCGTCAGCACCCAGATTCAGTGAAACAAATAGATTTGATCTTCCTATTGGATAATTACAAATAAGGTGGAAAAGTCTGCTTAAGAGAAAACTGAAAAATCCTGAATGATTGTGATCTGAATAATGAAAATCATTTAATTTTCATTTTATTTTGAGGTTTTGACCTTACCATAGAGTATAATATTGTTCATTCTGTTTTTATATTCTGTGTTTGTATCATGGAGTGAATCTGTGCTCCATCACTTTGCTGCTGATGCAATAAAATTTCCCCATGATAATAAGTATTTCTGTTCTATTCTGTTAGTTAATATTCAACTCATCCAATCTGAACAGAGGATCCACGTCACGCCGTCTCGCATCGAGCAGATGGAAACGTAACCTTTTCTCTGCACAAATAAAAACTGACTGTGGCTCCAGTGTCTTTTTATACAACAGGAAATTAAACGATTGCACTTAAATTATGAAGGATTAAGCAGCTGTGGTCTGAAAGCAAAGCCTCAGAACAGGTAACCTGATTGTGTGTAATCAACTGTCTGCAGAGTTTGTGGTCATAGAATTACAGGAACCACTTCCACCAAAGTTTTGAAATCAGGGAACATTTCACCGCTTGAGGTGAAGAGCAGTTGGCCTGCGACCGGCGCCGTCAGCGCCCAGAGGCATTGGGTTCGCTGTGCAGGGATGATGGGAGGCGGGGTCTCAGCACTGCTAATCACCCTGGTGTAGGGGCTGGCAACCCAAAATGTTGAGAGAGCTATATTGGGCCAAAAAACAAATAACTAATTTGTCTGGAGCCACAAAAAATGTAAAGCTTTATATTAGACTATTATCAAAATGAGTAATTGTATACATAATGAGCATTTATGATTAAATGTTTATTTGGACTGAATGATGCACCATGTGACTCTGTTGTATTATGGTGCTTTACGTTTACCTTCCATTACAATATTAATGTTTTATGTTTCGTTGCATTAATAAAATTAAAGAAATGCAATAAAGAAATTGATTCTTTATATCAATTTTATTATGGAGATCGACAGGAAAAGGGTCATTTTTTTCCTTTTGGAATTTGGAAAATCTGCTCCAAATGCAGTTTGCATAACGATTCGCAAACACTTTACAGTAAATTATCATGTGAAGTGTTTGATCAAAACACAACATAACAGAACGGGCTAAATGTGTCTCTTATCTGGGCAACAAACGGAGAGCAATGAAACAACCTGCAGGTGTAATAGAAAACAGCAGCCTTTTGAAAAGGTAAAGTATATACAATTAATTAATACAGTTTAAGTTTGATTTCTGTGCAAATGCCAAACAAGTCAGTGCAATGATAAAACATAGCAGCTTCCTTCTCATTTGACTCACAGCAACAATAATATTGCTAAGTGTCATTCTAAATACATCTATCACTAATCAATTTATGAAAACAATATGTGCCTGTGGGAGCATCGCGTTCTTACGTGTTTAATGTTACTTCTGTTTACGGACAGCATCGTAAGTTGTAAGTTTGGCTACGCAGCAGCTAAAGTAGTGATGTGAATAAGTCTCTCGTTTAAAAACCAAAATGATCCTCATAGTAGTTTGGATTTACAGAATGCTCCAAAACGTCCTCGCTCATATTGTTTCACTGTGTCAAAACACAGAAGAAGTTCTGTTTCAGAACTAAAACAAATGAATGTGTTAAAACAGATGTTGTTTTAACACATTTCGAAAGACCCTAATGGTTCATCCTGTGCAAATGATCTTTCAGGGGATTTTAGTAGAATCCAGCAGAGTGAAGGTGTCTGGACTCTGAGTCAGAATCATCCTGCTGTGAAGCCCCTTCGCACTGTTTTAAATTAATCAAAGCTATTTCAAATGTTATTACTTCAAGCACGTATCAGGAATTTAAATTATATCTAAGATTCAAATCATCTTGTAGGTGTGAGCTGACGCTGTTAAATGTCATAATACCAAACTTAGTCAAATCGAAATATTTTCCAATTGCAGGAAATTTCACAAAGCGAAGCAGCTGGACTCAATTGCACTTCAATGTACATAAAAATGCAAAACAGTCCCAACCTGAGCCAGAAAATTACTGCAACGCCAAAATCAAATCTGAGCGAAGGATCCAGGCATGCTCACATCAATTTTATAAATTATATCTATAGCATGAAAACTCCAACTCATGTTCCCTGAAAAGTTTACCTGACTTTATCATCAGTTTGATGCACTGGAGTTGAACAGCTTTCTGAAGATTATCTGCACAAGACGGTGAAGGTTCATGGAAACATTCAGCGAGAACATTCATTTCATCAGCATGTAGGCGTTACAAAAAAGACAGGTAGTTATTTTAACATGCTAGTGTCTGCCGATGTGAGACTGTATCACCGCCCACTGTCTCTGGAACCACCACACAAGCAGTTTTGAGCTTTTCACCTCAACATCATTTAATTACCGAACATTCAAGAAACCTGCATCAGAGGCTTTTTTTTTCGCTGCTGATGCAACAGTTGGCGGCATTGCAGCTGATTGGAGGTGAAAGTTACTTGAAAAAGAGTTAAGAGAGTTGAATCCCAAGGAGTTTCTGGGCCAGCAGAGAAGCATTTGTGTCCTGGGTCTCACCCTGGGTTTCCTCCCTGCGGATGAACCCTGAACCCGTCACCCTGGAGACGTCCAGGCGAACCACATCTACTGGCTCCTCAGTGTGGAGAAGCAGCAGCTCTGCAATGACTGAGCTCACACAGTTTGTGGATGTTTTCACAATTCAGTTTAACAAGAAGGAACCGGTTACTGAAAAGAAACTAAGCTGCAATACTCCAAACGGCCACCAGAGGCCACTGCGTATGCGATTTATGTTTAATGTTACACTGCGGCTTCTTCACGTCCTTATGAGTGACACCATAATTCTTCCAAACTGCAACAGTGATTGTTTTAAAGAGAAGCAATTTAGGAATGAGAAAAAACAAAACTTTTGGCTGAGTAAGTTTTAAAAGTCAGAGCAATAATGGTGACGATACTAAAAACTTTTAATGCAAGTTCATTAATGTTGAACTATGAGACTCCAATAAAAATAAGACAAAGAAATAAAAGAATAAGTGTTTCAGGACTTTTCTATATGGATAAAATATCAGTGATGAGAAACAACTTGGGTTAGAAAATCTGACATTTAAAACAACTTAAATGAAAATGAAATGAATGAAATCCAAAAGTTGAGGAGTTTTGTTTCTAATATGGCTGCAGGAATAAAGTACCACTATTTCTGATGGTTTGTATGTCACAAAGCTGAGGTCACACCTGTCACTTTACAACCATACGAAAGCAGGTAAAGTGGAAATGAGAGTGATGCTAACCTTTCTAACACGTCTGATGGTGTGTTTCCTTTCTAAGGGCAAACCCAGAACCAGAAAAAGAAACAGAAAATGTACCTAGATTGTAATGAACATTGATCCCTTTCTAAACATTTCCTTTTCCAGTCTGATGCATGAAATTCATTTTTTTACAGGTGGATATTGCTTCAGTGGGTCAGTTATTATTAAATAAATCCGTTATAAAATAGAAGTTTTTGGAACAAAACTGAAACATCCTGTGGACTTTTTCAGTTCAGGTTAACACAGATTTAGCAAACTCAGGAAATTGCATCATGATCTTTACAGCAAATCTTTTACATAATTCCTCATAAAATCAGTAAAATGAGCCGCAGGATCCCTGCTGTCTCCTGTGTAAGCCCTGGTTTTCCTGGCAGCAGAAACTGATTATCCAAACAGAGACCGATTAAAGTGTAACAGCTCCATCGATTTTGACCTGCTAAGAATGGGGAAGAAATGTTAATTTTCCTTATAATAGAGATTTCTGAGTCCTGGAGGTTTAATTTACCTCCACCCAATCAATCTGCCTGTTTTGGTTCAGTGGGTGGATTAGTTGTCTGACAACCTGAAAGTCGTCAGTTCAAGTCCAACTTCCTCCTGCCAGGTGTTGACGTGACTCCAGGCTGCCCACCGAC